AAACTTGTTTGTCTGAGCAATTGGCTGAACAAGAAGTAGGACTGAGTGGACTTATAGGCTCTAAAGTTTTACATTTGTTTTATTTTTGAATGCAGTTATTTTTGTACATAAATCTACATTTGTAGGTTCAAGTTTCATGATAAAGAGATTGCACTACAGTACTTGTATTGGGTGAATTGAAAAATACTATTTCTTTTGGTTTTTTACAGTGCAAATATTTGTAATCAAAAATAAATATAAAGTGAGCACTGTAATTGAAATCAATATATTTGAAAATGTAGAAAACATTCAAAATATTTAAATAAATGGCATTCTATTATTGTTTAACAGTGCAATTAGTCATGCGATCAATCGCAATTAAATTTTTAATCACTTGACAGCCCTACTTCCTACTTGTTGCTTTTTGCCTATGGCCTGGCTTGGAGGAGGATGACTGAGCTAGGTACAGGAAAGCCTCTTAAGCAATTCCTACTATCATTGGGTAACAGCTGTTGCTCATTAATAGATTCTGAATCCTGACATATAACCTTTGGTATCTCTGACCTATGTCATGTAATTAGAGCAAGGAAATAAACATAATTATCTTGCCAGCACTCCTGTGTTTCACACCCTTATTACATGATGGCAGAAGAAAATGTAACCTTTGCCAAAAATTGATCAAATGAAGTCAGCTGAATCTTTTAGTCTGGAAAAGAACCTGGCAGAGAATTGGAGGAGGTGGTTTTAGTCAGTGCTTCCAAAATTCCTGCAAGTAACTGCAAAGACAATGGAGAAATTGTAGAGAGTGAAATCCTCCATAGGGCTATTTGGGGCAGGCCTAGAGGCACTGGAGATGTATAATACATTCCATTGGGAGTGTGAGCAGGATATACATATAACTGGTATACATATAATAACTGATAACTCAATCTTGGCTGAAGCAAACTCACAAGGGGTTGGCAGTTGTCATTCTCCAAGATGATCTTCCCCTAAGCCATACGTGTCCTAAGTCCTGATTGCAATACAACAGAATTGTGCTGAGATTGAAAAAGAAATGCTGGCAATTGGCTTTGCGTACATGCAGTTTAATGAATACGCTTATGGACAGAAATAGATCATGGTAGAAAAAAAAAGACCATAAACCACTGGAAGTCAAATTACAGAAACTATTGTGTAAAATTCCCCACTAGATTTAAGAAAACAATATGAAATTGTAAAAGTACTTGTTAAATGTGAAATACAGACACAGAGATTCTTATAGTAAATATACTTTCAAGACAAACTGTAAAAAAAAAAGCAAAGAAAGGAGATGGAGGAACAGGCTGAAATAAATATAATTCAATAACAAAACAAAATGTGACCAGCTCAAATGAGATGCCCATAATGACCCAACCTCACAATAGCTTGAGAAAGTAATTCTAGATGGATGGCCAGCAAAAGAAAACCAGGCACCTTCAACTTGAAGCATAAAAACATATTGAACTATAGAGATTAAATTTCTCCATTGGATGGGATTCTGTACCAAGGATTTTTCTGTCATTTTGCTATATAGCATGAGGTTGGAAATGTTAAGCATAATCCCCTGTGCCCCTGTGGATATTGAGAAGTGTAAGAGGAGAATCCAAGTTGTCCTATTATGGCCAGGCTTTAATGTTGCTATTGAAGACAAGGCAACCAAGTGTAAAATCTGCAATAAATACAGGAAACTGAATGCAAAAGAAACCCACAAACCAACTGGGATTCCAGATCACCTTGATCCAACTTTGGTTTATGTCTATCTGAGTTAGAGGGATAAGATTACCTCTTATTTGTAGACTGCTATTGTTTTCATTATTAGTGAGCTCTTACATCACAGTTTGCTCACTATGGGATTCCAGATGAGTTAATAACAGATAATAATGTTCCACCATTCATAAGTGACTCATTTTCATTTTGGGAATTCCTTTTGGCAAATTTGTTCAAAATATGCCAAGCCCTTCCTATGATCAGTTATGAGAGTTGGTAGAAGAGCTGGTGCTAACAGCAAAGAACTAGATGTAGTAAATAAGGTAAGCCCTGGAGGATTCAAGGATGCACATTTAACATTGCTGGAATATCACAACAAATCTCACAAAGATTTACTAGGACTTCCAGTTCAGAGATGTATGGCCCAAAGAACAAAAACCTTAGTTTCAACATCAATTAGGTTTCTTAAATCAAATACAATTAGCCCTAAAGTAGTTTCAAAAGTAGCTATATGCCAGGAAACTTGGCATGTGATGCAACCACTGTCTATCATGCTGACCAGTATCTTCTCACTGTTAACTTATGCTCCCCCCAGCATTCATCCCATCACAAGTGGAACATGATGTTCGCTTTTGGAAAACAAACTGTTAGCATCCTGCCACGATAATACCAAAGTCATGACACAGCCATCCCTGATTGTCAGTCAAGTGGGAGAGACAAGAGATGCCTAAATAAAACCCGGGGAAGAAGTTTCTAGCCTTCATGGTTGAGAAGAAAAGCTTCTAGATGTAAAGGATCATAGACAAGAAGGAAAATAAAAAGAACCCAACATTTATTATTTTTTTTAATCTTGTGATTTTTTTAAGCCGATTTTATGCTTTTTTGATGCCTGACGTATGATTTTTGGACCATTAGGATGGACAGTTCTGCCCTGACCTCTATCCCAGATGTGTCTAGCTATGTATTTTATTAATTGGCAGCACTAATCTGTGCTGGTTGTTTCTGGTTGATACGATATCTGCTTACCTCCTGCAGCAGCCCAACTGACTGTTCTTCCCTAGGAGGTGAAGGAACAGAAAAGGCAGGGACTCAGACTGGCTGGGCAGGCTGGAAGTTATCTGAAGGCTGGAGCTTTTCCCATCATTACAAGACTGGTTGGTTCCAGCGGAAGCCAAAATCCCAGAGTGGGCCTGGGACCCATGTCATGTAGCCTTGACACATTTCAAGTGACTGGAGCCAGGAAACAAACATCAGTCTCAGACCAGCTCTCCTGTGTGTCACATCCTAGCCATTACATTACAACAGAGATGATGTTTGGAGGGGGGAAGGAAGTTCTTAGGCCCAGATCCTCAAAGGTATTGAGGCATTTAACTCCTATTGAAATCAGTGGGATTAGGTGCCTCAATACCTTTGAGGATCTGGGCCTTAGTCTTTTGGAAAAATAGAACAAGAAATTGCTCTGTAGCAGCTGCAGCTGCTGGTCACCTCTGAGACCCAGAAAAAACAGCCACTGTCAGTCTGTCCATCCCTGTCCCACCAATAAAAAAGGTCCTAGTGCAGACTATAGCTAGTTGCTAGACTGTTTTAGAGAACCATTTTACAAAAACCAACCCACAATATGTGCACATCTTTTAACCAGCAGCAAGGCAGTACAAAAACCGGCCAAGAGACAACGGTAGCTGATGCCATTTCTTGCGCACAGTGGGACTTAGCTAGATCCAGGCCACACCAAGGACTTTCACCACAATGGTGCTCACAGGAGGGGAAGCGGAGCTATTGCTCCAGTTATCTGGTCCCTGTTTATTCTAATTTGCTGGTCAGCACCATATTGAGGAGTGGGAGGTAGGCAGAGACAGAGGCACTAGCACTGTTTCTAGAGTCTGCAACCTGCCTGTTTGCACTTTTAGTGATCTTTTCCTTCACCTGGAAGCATCTGAAATTGGGCAGATCTTCTCACAGGTACTGGTTGTACTTTGGGAATATTTTCTTACCAAGAAAGAGGTAAAAAGGACACTTTTGGTGGCAGGCATTTTGAGTGTGGCATCACCTATATGCTACTCTGTCCCATTACTTTGATACTAAAATTGCTATCTGCCTTTGGTCATTACAAATAACTTACCTATTTCCATGTTCTTCAACCTGTAACATAACTTATTGCTAGATTTTGGTTGGACTCCCACTACAGTAGAACCTCAGAGTTACGAAATCCTCAGGAATGTAGTGGAGGTTATTCGTAACTCTGAACAAAACGTTATGGTGGTTCTTTCAAAAGTTTACAACTGAACATTGACTTAATACAGCTTTGAAACCTTACTATGCAAAAGCAAAATGCTGCTTTCCCTTTATTTTTGTAGTAGTTTATGTTTAACCAGGGCCGGCTCTAGGTTTTTTGCCGCCCCAAGCAAAAAAAATTTTGGCTTTTACACATTTTCACTTTGCAATGTTTTTTTGTTTTGTTTTGACCAGCTAGACTGTAGCAGCTCATTCAGAGTTGTTATGGTCTTTCATGTCAATGAGGATTTAGGGATTCTCAAGCCCACAAATCTCCCAGCTGCAAAGCAATGTGAACTACATTTGCCTGCTAAAAATCCTTACACTGTTCTCCCTGGGGGTGGGGGGAAGATGCACATATGCAAGAAGTTGCATTGCTAAAATGCAACCACAGTGAGAACAGAAATCAAACAGCGCCAAATCACTGGGTCACCCGATGGACTAATCAATGAACCATTTCTACGGGAGTGGGGGGGTCAGAGAAGGGGGAAATTTGGGGCCAAAGTCTAGTAGTTTCTCAATCAAAACTCTCAGTAACTTCAGGCTGGGATCCTGAGCACCTAGACACCCCCGCCCCAGCCTGGTAGTTTGAGGAGCAGGTGCCAACCTGTCCCCTGCTTTTCAAAGCAGCTCTCCCCACCAAGGGGGAGGGCGCTTAAAACTGCTGCTGGGAGCGGGTCCCAAGTTTGTTGATTTCTCAATTGCCCCCACCCCACCTGCAGCGAGTCCCTCGAGGCCCAGGCCAGCGCCAGGTGCGGGGGCCACATCTGTGGGCGTCCTGTCCCCCGCGGACTCTGCCAGGCGCAGCTGGAGCCACCCCATCCGCGCTGCCCCGAAGTCCCAGGAAAGTTTCCCTGCGCCACCCACGAGCGGGACTTTCCCGAAGTCAGGGCGTGGCAGAGCAACCCGTGCCCCCCAGCTGCTGGCGTGCCGGGACGCTGGGGCCAGCTCTGCGCCCGCCAGGGGGCTGCCCGCTGGTGACCCCTCCCCGGGGCCGCGCTGGGGGCGGACCTGCGCAAACTGACCTGGCCAAGCGGGAGCAGCGCCCCCTCCTCTGCGGGCGGCTCAGCGCATCGTCCCGCCACGGTGCTGGGCTCCCGCGTCTCCTGGAGCCGGCTGGTGGCTCCGTCTGGGCACTTCAACGCCTCCCCTCTGGCAGGATGCAGGGAGCTGGGCTGGGAGGAGGGCTCCGCGCTGCTCCGATCGGCTGGGAGGGAAGGACACGGGCTGCCCTGCTGAGTTTGCTGCAGGGCGCTCCCCTCCTCCAGGCCACCGCCCCCTACAGGGCAGCTGGAGTGGCACACCAAAAAGAAAAAGGAAAAAAAGGGCAGCCGGAATGCCGCCCCTTGGAATCTGCCGCCCCAAGCACCAGCTTGCTCCGCTGATGCCTGGAGCCGGCCCTGTGTTTAACACAGTACTGTATTTGCTCTTTTTTTTTTTTTCCTGTCTCTGCTGCTGCCTGACTGCATACTTCCAGTTCCAAATGAGGTGTGCGGTTGACTAGTCAGTTCGTAACTCTGGTGTTTGTAACTCTGAGATTCTACTGTACCTCCCTCAGACAGAACAGCAGTATCTTTAGGTTGACCGTGTTAGATACTGTCCAAGGATAAGAGAATGGATTTCTGTGCTCCAGTAGGAGATCATCAATTCCATCCATGTGGTTTCCAGACTATTTCCTGTCCTGAATACAGATCACAAAGGGGCCCCTATGTCATCTTTGGTTAGACAAGCTCAGACACAGCTTTTGGCTGGTGTCTATTTCTCCCATATTCTCCTTGAGTCTTGTAATGTCTTCTATATTTATTATTACCAATCATTAGTTTCTTTCCATTCCTACTGATAAAACACTTGCCATCATGTTGGTAGTTTCTCAATATAATTCTTCCTTTCTTCCTTCCTCATATTTCTCTCCCTGCTCCATTCTGTTCAAAACATTTAAGCTGAAATCATCTCTCTTCTTTTCTCGCTCCATGCCAACTCCTTCCCAAATCTCTAGAGCCCTGCGCAGATACAAAATTTGTATCCTCAGCCGATCCACAAAAATGATCCGTGGATCTCTGCATCTGTGGATTTACAGGGCTCTCCAAATCTCATCACTGGCTTCCCACCTTTTACTGCATCAAATTCAGGCTCCTTGCCCTCACCTTCAAAACTGAGCATGATCTCTGCCTACATCTCAGCTCCAGTTTCCTCCCACTCTATACCTCTAATCTCCTACTAGTATTATTTTCACACCCTTCTTTTTTTCTGTCTTGGTTAGTCTCTTTGGGGCTAGGACCTTGTTTGTTTTTTTTACTTCGTAAATAGCTGTGTGCAATTTTAAGATGCTGTAGAACAACTATTATTAATAATATAATATGTGGGTGTTTCTCATTCAGGAGATAATAATTATATCCTAGGCTGAGAATACTCAGAGACCTATATGCTTATAGCAAATAAATTCTTTGGTTAAAGCGGAGGAGTTGTTTAATTCCGATTGCCCAGGCAGTTTTGTGTTTTTAATTGCTGTCCTGCAAACAATTTGCTCGCGCTCTGTAGCCAGGACTACTAGTTCTCCGAGCCCCCCACATGCTCTTTCTTAGCTACTCAACAGCTGCTCAAAAGCGTGGGCCTTCCTGAGTGTCAGACACGCTGAGCAGCAGCACCAGCCGAGATCCAGTGACAGCTACGGGTGCTCAGCAGCACCTCTGCAAATCAGAGCCCGGCGGTCCCCACATTTCCTGCCAGAAAGGGCAAAACTCCCACCAGGAGGAGCAGGCGGGGAGCTCTGCGCTCCTGCCCTGTGCAATCCGCGGGCGCGAGCCCGGCCTGACCCTCCTGCGCCCGGCAGCGGCGGCCTGTTCACCGCGCGCGCGTTCCCTAGGGCCAGGGCCCGGGCCGGGGCAGCGGCAAGGCCCGGCCAGGAGCACACTCCCCGCTCGCCCCCAGGGGGCGCTCGCGCAAGCCCCCTCCCCCCTTGCTTCTAACGCCCTGCGGCCCTGGACGCACTCACGGGGCACCTATCCCCGCGCACCTTACGCCAGGCTGGCCAATCCCCGGGCAGGATCACGCCCCACAGACCTCCGACCCGCCCGGCTAGCCAATCCCCTCGCAGCTCACCCGCCCCGCGGGCCAATCATGGAGCCGCTGTCCGCCTTTTCCCTCCCCCTCCCGCCTCCTGTGACAGAGCGGCACCCTAGGGCCAGGACTGGGGCGGCGCAGAGCGGCCGCCGCTGCGGAGCGAGCTGGCCCCTGGCGCTGTCGGCCGCGGCCCCCGGAGCAGCCCGCGCGGCCCCGCCCGCCCCGAGCCATGCTGCTGCTGCTGGCGGCCGCCTGCGTCGTGGCCTTCGTGCTGCTGCTCTACATGGTGTCGCCGCTCATCAGCCCCAAGCCCCTCAAGCTGCCCGGCGCCCACGTCGTGGTGAGTGTGGGGGCGCTGCCGCCTCTCTCCGCCCCGGGCTTCTTCGCCCTCCCCTCCGGCCCCATCGCCCTGCCGGGTGGGCGGCGCTGGGGCCAGGCTGGTGTCGGGGAGAAGATGCCGCCTTGCCCTGGTTTCCCGGTTGGGGGGCAGCGGGTGACTCGAGATGGGGACCCTGCGAGGACATCGCGGTGTGTATGTCTGTATGCACACCTGTACACGGCGGGCGGGCGGGGTGTACAGAGGAGTGTGTGTGTGGAGGCATTTGTACGTGAGGTGCGGATGTAGTGCGCCTGTGTCTGTGTGTAGACACACATCTATACACAGAATGAGGGTGTAGCGGGGTGTGTGTATATAAATACTTAGGGTGCATGTCTGTGTATATACACATAGTATATGGATGGAGTGTGTGGGGTGTGTATAAATACGTTGTGTATATCCAAATGCATATAGTGTGGGGGCGGTGGGGTGTATATAGGTGTGTGTATAGATACATTGTGTGCATTTGTGTATACAGACCACATGCATATATAAATGTACATAGTGTGTGGGTTGGATGTATAATGTACACCCACATATGCACATATACTGTGAGGGGTGTGTGTGTGTGTGTGTATATATATATATTCAAGTATCAGGAGGTAGCCGTGTTAGTCTGTATCTACAAAAACAACAAGGAGTCTGGTGGCACCTTAAAGACTAACAGATTTATTTGGGCATAAGCTTTCGTGAGTAAAAACCTCACTTCTTCGGATGCAT